CCCTCAGCGTCAAACGCGAGGACACTAGGGGTAGCCATGACAACAGTAGACTTGTAGTACCAACTGTAGGACAGGGGCAGTGCAGTGTCAGAAGCGCTGCTCTCACCAGACAAGGCGGTTCGGGCAGCTCAGTAGCACAGCAACACGGCAACACGGCTGCTCGGACGGCTCAGCAGCAGCTACGGGTCCGCGGCACCAGCGGCTCGGGCGGCTCGGGCGGCTCAGGCGGGTCGGGCGGCTCGGGCGGCTCGGCTCCTCAGTGGCTTAGGCGGCTCGGGCGGCTCGGGCAGGTCGGGCGGCTCGGGCTGCTCGGGCGGCTCGACTCCTCAGCGGCTCAGGTGGCTCGGGCGGCTCGGGCGGCTCGAGCGACTCGGGCGGCGCGGGCGGTGTAGGGCGGTAGGGCCGCTGGTAGGGCGGCGGGGCCGCAAGGTAGGTGGCGGGGCCGCAGTGGGAGGGGCGGCGGGGCCGGAGTGAAGGGCGGCGGGGCCGCCGTGAAGGGCGGCGGGGCCGCTGAGAAGGGCGGCGGGGCCGCAGTGAGAGAGGCGGCGGGGCCGTAGAGAAGGGCGGCGGGGCCGCTGAGAAGGGCGGCGGGGCCGCTGAGAAGGGCGGCGGGGCCGCTGAGAAGGGCGGCGGGTCCGCAGCGAGAGAGGCGGCGGGGCCGCAGCGAAGGGCGGCGGGGCCGCTGAGACGGGCGGCGGGGCCTCAGTGTGAGGCGGCGGGGCCGCAGGGAAGGGCGGCGGGGCTGCAATGTGAGGCGGCGGGGCCGCAGCGAAGGGCGGCGGGGCCGCAGCGAAGGGCGGCGGGGCCGCTGAGAAGGGTGGCGGGGCCGCAGCGAGAGAGGCGGCGGGGCCGCAGCAAAGGGCGGCGGAGCCGCAACAAAGGGCGGCGGGGCCGCAGCGAAGGGCGGCGGGTCCGCAGCGAGAGAGGCGGCGGGGCCGCAGCGAAGGGCGGCGGGGCCGCTGAGACGGGCGGCGGGGCCTCAGTGTGAGGCGGCGGGGCCGCAGGGAAGGGCGGCGGGGCTGCAATGTGAGGCGGCGGGGCCGCAGCGAAGGGCGACGGGGCCGCAGCGAAGGGCGGCGGGGCCGCTGAGAAGGGCGGCGGGGCCGCAGCGAGAGAGGCGGCGGGCCCGCAGCAAAGGGCGGCGGAGCCGCAGCAAAGGGCGGCGGGGCCGCAGCGAAGGGCCGCGGGGCCGAATCGACGGGCTGCGGGGCCGCTAGGGCGTTGGGGCCGCTAGGGCGGCTCGACGAAGTGAGAGCCCAGAGCGCGACTCGGGCTGAGCGCGCTTCGGGCAGGGAAAAAAAAAAAAAAAAACTCGATGTGGTGGGCCCTAGGCACAGTTCCCACGGGGGAACCTGCTCGATACCATGAGGAAATTAGAACGAGAATGAAATGACTATGGAATGAAAGTGATACAAATATGCAACCCTAGAAATGTGTACCCCATATGGGCTACCCCACTAAAGCCTAGACAACATTATAATTTGACAAAACCGTCAGTCGATTTATCAAGGATTAACCATGGGAACCGCGGAAGCCATTCCGACAAGTAGCTTTTCTGGGCCTTCAAATACAACTTCTCCTTCTTCTCCTCTGCGGTGAGTTGGACTACAGGTGTTGTTTTCTTGGCAGGTGGCGGCGGAGTCGGTGCAGGCTTAACGGGCTGCAGACCAATCCCGAGCACGGACTGCGTGAAGCGCCGCTTCTTCGGCGTCTGTGAGGCGGTCGAGTCTGGAACAGACGCATCCACGACCTGTGTTGGTGCTGTCTTGGCCGGTTCAGCGATGCTTGGGTGGTGCGATCCATCGCACACCTCGTTCTGTCCGTCGTGGTCTTCATCTTCTTGGCGTGGCGAGCGAACCCACACCTCGACCCCATCGGAATGCTCGTCATCGTCCGGTCCATTCCGAGGATACCAATCGTCGCCTCCCCAGTAGTCACCACCGCCATCTCGCTGGTCGCCGGCGTGCTCGTGGGAATGATGTACCCTGCGCAGAAACTCCATACCTGTGATGGGGCGAGAGCTGGATGACGGGCCGGGATCAGGATCAGGCGCAGCAGAGTCAGCGTGGTCTGCGTCATTAGCCATCTATGGCAAGGCTGCAGGAGAAGGGTGGCTTGAGGCGTGGTAGTGATGCTGGGTACCTCAAGCCTGATCACGGATTGTGGAAATGGATGGAGAAACGTGGGTTCACCCCCCGGTGAGCCAGCCGAGCACTAGCAGGGCTTGGCCGCGTTGCCCACGTTTACACCTTCCGTGCGCTGTATCATTCCTTGATCCTGACAGAAGTTCAGATGTGTAACAGTGTGTGCTGGCTGGGAAAGGAAAATTGCCACTCCAGCCAATCAGCTCGCAAAATGCCGCCAACACACGAAGCGAAATCTTGATGAAGTGCTCGGCGACTCGGTTTAACCCCAGTAATTGGGGAAAGGGGGGAGGGGGGGGGGGGGGGGGGGGGGGGGGGGGCGGCTAGGGGGCCTGTATCCTCTGTACAGAGTAAACACCATCCTTAGAAAAAAAACCCTGGGGCCTCAGAGTGAACTATATCTCAACTCTGATACATCAGAGAAAACACAACTCCTAAAATCATAACCCAGCAGGTACAGAGTCCCTCTAAAAAACAACTCTGATTTTCAGAGAAACAGAGTGATTTACTCGGATAACGTGGGCCCTGTCAGGGACTCGCTATAATAGCGGGTCCTGGCGTCGTCGGTGTCCTCAGCAGGTCCCGAGTAGCTCCCGTCGAAATAATGATAAATCTGCGCGTCCAGCAGCAGCTCCAACTCGAAGCTCTTGGTGTAAAAGTCTCTGTTGTCAAAGCACACACTTGTCTTAATTTTTGATATGCTCAAAATCCTTGATTGCGCGGAGAGAATTGCTTCATCGCTGGGACAGGGAGTCTTGGGGGTTGAGCCATTCGTATCTAGGGAGAAGCCTTGGGGGCCGGAGTTTTGGCCGTTTGACGCCGGTTGAGTGGGTTGGGAAGAGGTTCCCGCGTCGCCATTCCGCAATGCTTGGAGTCCTTGCTCCAGGCTCGCGAGTCGCTGAAGCAGTTGTGCGAGGACGGCGGAAGGGATCGTCGTCGTTTCCTCGCTTGTCGCAGCCGGGTTGGGCTGCGCTTCAGCCGTCAGATTCGTCTGACCACCAGGTCCTCCGGCCATTCTCACACGCGAGCGTGTGCCGGACGCCACTTTCTGAATGACGTAATTTTCGGGAGTGGCAGTGCGAAGGATTCCCGAGCCGCTCTCATACCATGCTGCGATCAGAAGTTGATCGTGGCCTAGGATCTACTCAGGAAGGTTCGCACGTAGAGAAGTGATGTTGGTGGGCCCTTGACCTCAATAGCAGAGTGAATGTAAAATGCTTTGAGATGATTTAAAACATGCAATTACAGCAAATATAAATATGAGTACAGGGGAGATGAAACGACCTACCGTATTCTCCCGGACATAACACCCTAGGGTATAGCTAAAAATACAGGGAAAAAATGGGGGGGGTCTCCTCATAGGAAAAAAATGCATAATACCCGGGTCTTTACATATGGCATATTTTAGTGTTAGTGTTTTTTTAATTAGTCAATGTGGGTGTTTTGCTGGTCGTTTTAGCATCACTGCCTGAGGCGCGAATGTTAGTTTCGGCCTCGAACTTCATCGCCCCCACGAAAATGGCATGTGGCACCTCTCTTGCCACTTGCAACGGAAGGTTCACCTGCGCGTGGCGACAGAGAAATAGTGGGAGGGGCAAATCTCGGCAGATTGCCTTTGAATGTACCGCGAAATTTCATCGAGGGAGAAATTCACACGATATTCTTCCGTATTGCAGCTACTCGTTAACGACTATAATAATGAATCCGTAAGAAAAGGGGGGTGTTATAGAAAATCAGCCAAAAAGGGGGGTATAGTAGAAACGAGGTCTATCATAACACCCACCCCGCACAAGCTACCCGGGGGTGTACAATTATGGGGGGGTGTTTTGTCCGGGAGTATACGGTAGCTAGCAGGGCTAATTTTTTGTTTTAAGCAACCCTTATCATCAGTCCTGCACCTTAGCAAAACCCTGATTATCAGTGTGACCCCTAGGGAAAATTCTTTTCCATCAGGGTTTTCCATAGTTTCAAAAAATTTACCCTTATACCACAGTGTAACAATTTTGAATACCCTGATTAAGTGTTACTACGGAAGTTCCAAACAAAACAAAAGTTAAGAATTGATATCGAGCCATCATTGTACCAAGGTCCAAGCTACCAACTAAGCCACTCAACGCGAATATGAAAATAGCTTTATTTTTAATAATACAATTTGTTCTACTGGGACAGAAGTGCGAAGGCGAATTGGGGGGGAGGGGGTTAGGGTGAAGGGGGTGATGTTACGCGCTTCAGGGTAAAACTCGTTATGAAATCGGTAACCCTGAGTCATCAGTGTGCCTTAAATGTTAACCCTGGCCTGGCACATCAGGAAAATTCTAGCTCCCAAAGAAATTACCCTAGGCCATCAGTGTGACTACCAAAAACCACCCTGATAATCAGGGTATCAGGGTGATTTACACTGATAAAATTTGCCCTGGTAGCTAGCCATGTACTCTAAGGGGTACATTCCCTTATTCAAATACATTCCCAACCGTGCGGCGCGAACAGTTGCGAAACTGTTCCCGCCGAAACCATCCTGCCTGCAGCTGCCTGATGCTGTCTGCTCCGACGGTCCAGATGCGTCCCAACTGTCTGACGCTTAGAGTCGATTTCAACCGTCTGACACTTCGCGTTCATTCGCGATACTGCGTGCTTCTCTTTGCTGCGGTGAGGAGTGCACAGTAATATTCAAGTATTACTAAACATAACAATTTGTACGATACCGTATTAGAGGTCCCTCCTGAAGATACATCTGAGATAGTCCATGATGTTGCCAAAAAGAAAATGTCGTTCAGCGTAATCAAGCTGTTACTGGTAGGCGGTTGGTGGGAACTGAGCATGGTTTCGGTAATGCTGATTGGGTTGTGGATCCTAGGCATGGTGCGTGGCGGAAAGTGAGTGTAAGGAAATAGAGCTGTGTGTGTGTGTGTGTGTGTGTGTGTGTGTGTGTGTGTGTGTGTGTGTGTGTGTGTGTGTGTGAGTGTGTGTGTGTGTGTGTCTGTGTGCGTGTGTGCATCTGAGTGTGTATGTGTGAGAGAGAGCAAGAGAGAGAGAGAGAGAGAGAGAGAGAGAGAGAGAGAGAGAGAGAGAGAGAGAGAGAGAGACGGAAAAAGAAAGAGAGGGGGGGGGGGGGAGACAAGAGAAGGGTGAAGGTGAATATGGAGAAGGGAACGGGGTAGGGAAAGAGAAATGCACGAGGGAAGGGAATAACTGTAAGGTGGTACTCATGAGGTGAAAGATTGCATTTATAGGATGGACAGGGGAACGGGGACGAGAAGAGAAAGACTGGAGTAACATCGGCAAACAAGGAAGTCGAACATGGAACAGAGTTTAGGGAGAACGAGGAGGAGGGGATATTAAAGAGAACGAATCAGGGGGACAGATCGGCAAGGAAGGGGAAAACGGGAGGATGGGAGGGGAGAGAAGGACGAGGGGCAGACGGAGGGGACGGGACAAGGTGGGGACGGGACAATGTGGGGACGGGAGAGACAGGGATGGAAGACGGAAAATCAACAGTCAAGAGAGGAGGGAGTGAGTTCAGGAGGAGGAAAATGGCGGAAAAAAAGTGGTGAAGGAACAAAGTTGAAGAAGCAGAGGGGGGGACTGGGCAGACGTGAGAGACGGGGAAAGAGGCCACGAGGGAAGGAGAAAGAAGTGGATGAGAGAGATAAACAGGGGTGAAGGGAAAGTTGCTTGCAGGGGATAAGGGCAGGCGGGGTTTCGGGTAGTGAGAGGAGGGATGGAGAGGAGGAACTTGTGAGGGAGAACATGGCAAGGGAGGAGGATGAGCGGACGGCGGACGGGGAGGAGTAACTGTGGAGAATGTGGGGGAAAGGGGGATAATTGACGCTATAGCAAGGGGAGGGGGTGGGAGGGAGTGGGAGAAGAGGAGGAGGAGGAGGAGGAGGAGGAGGAGGAGGAGGAGGAGGAAGAGGAGGAGGAGGAGGAGGAGGAGGAGGAGGAGTAGGAGGAGGAGGAGGAGGAGGAGGAGGAGGAGGAGGAGGAGGAGGAGGAGGAGGAGGAGGAGGAGGAGGAGGAGGAGGAGGAGGAGGAGGAGGAGGAGGAGGAGGAGGAGGAGGAGGAGGAGGAGGAGGAGGAGGAGGAGGAGGAGGAGGAGGAGGAGGAGGAGGAGGAGGAGGAGGAGGAGGAGGAGGGGGGGGGGGAGGAGGAGGAGGGGGGGGGAGGGGGATGGAGGAGGAGGAGGAGGAGGAGGAGGAGGAGGAGGAGGAGGAGGAGGAGGAGGAGGAGGAGGAGGAGGAGGGGGGGGAGGAGGAGGAGGAGGGGGAGAAGTTGAAAGCGTAAGGTGCAGCAATCAAATACCGTCTACCGTTCTGCCAATTGGCCCTCTTGCTCCAATGTTCCCTCTACAGGCTTACAACTTTAACGGCAGTTGAGCGCCCAATTAGAAAAGAGTACTGAACTGAAAAGTCTTCATCACATATCCGACAAAAAATGGAAATGAACTGAAGCCTACAAGCATTACCATACACACTCGTGCTCAACAGCTGCCCTTTCCCCCCAAAACCCCCCTCCACCACCACAGTCTTCTTTCCGCTCCACCTTACAGCGAATCTAGTAGTCCAAAATAAGAAATAACCAATGAGAGGCTAATTCCACTGGTAAGCTTACGCCTAATAAAGCGTACAAGCAAATTACAAACCTGCAAACAGAATCTCCTAACGAGAATCAGTACTGTTGCTCCTCAAGCTCCATGATCTGATTATACGCTCCTCGGTACTGCAACCGGACTCGCATAGTCTGCGTCCATCGATGAAACTCGATCTCGTCGCCGTCTCGATACAAGGGGCTCCGCTTCTCCAGATCTTCCGCAGCCTCGGCCGACTTCATTATAATCACCGCGTCTCCGCTAACACAAAAGGTTATGTGTTCCGCGAGGCAAACCGAGCTCCCGTTAGAGGAATTAGCATCGACGAGTACGCTTTCCAGCCACTTGGTCTTGGCTTGTCGGTCGTGCTCGAAGAGTGTTGGGAATAAGGCGATGATGCCTCGTTCCTTAAGCTCTGGATGCGTACGCTCGTACGCATCTAGCTTTATGAGCTTCGGAACAATTAAGACTACCATTGCGAGGGGTAAAAGAATGGTAGATGGTGAGAGAGTGGGTGCGAGACGAAGGGTAGTCGTTGACGACGATTCCTTCAACGATCAGCCGGAACAATTATCTTCTAATGAAACAAAGAGGAGCGCTCTTGAGACTAGTGACGACCACGTTGAGAGGCACAAGTTGAGAAGGGGAATCAAGCAAGAACAGATGTAGATCGTCTGCTCTCTGACACAGCGATCTGAAGAAAGTAATAATAATGAAGAATCCCACGAGAGAAGCAGAGCATTGGAAAGGAAGAGGGATCTGGTGGAGGGCATGTGCTTTTGGTTCGACACGAACGCGTTCCACTCAAATAGCCGTCAGGCTCGGTTTCTCCAAACGACGATGCTCTCTGACACAACGAGGTGTCGCACCTGGCCTGTCAAACCCGACGTTTTGTTTTTCTGCAGTCTCTTTTTTGGGTCAGTATTATTCTACACCCAGGAATAAGATGTTTTCACTTCACCACCCAGATGTAGCATATTTAACGTTGAAGGCCAATTAGAAACACAATAATGCATACGAACGGGAATCATGCTTGGCGTCTCATTGCTGATGTGAGTGAAAAGGTTGAAGTACCGAACCAACCAGTATCCCAGGCGCCGTCCATGAGAGCCACCTCACCTTTCGTCGCCCAGAAAACATCGCTTTAGGTTACGTGTCCCTTCGAGATTGTTCCATCCAACCGAGCTTCGCACTTCTCCCCACCAGTCGCTGAGCGAAGCGAGCCTCAGCATAACAAATAATAAATTTAGCATGCACAAGTACCCTTCTATAAGTGCAGAACCTTTGGTTCTGGGATATCATGATGTGATGTTATGATGTTTCAGGGATATCACAAACCAGGAACCAGAGGCGTTGACGCGATCAAAATGGCTAGATAAGTGCGGAGAGCTAGATAGTTTAGGGACTGTCAAAACATCCTCTAAGCTGAACCTCTCCCTCCCTCCGTTTCCATCTGACGCTGCTACTAATTTGGGCGAAGAATCCAGTTGTCGCGTATCCTTTGAACAGCCACCTTCCTGTATCACCTTTCTCCTCGTCCAATAACAGCATCGACGGGGAGTGGACAGGCGGCTTGACCGATAGGCCGGACGAATGACTGCTTGAGTCGTCCCTCTATTGCGTCCGTCCGACTGATTGCCTGGTGGGTTCACGTCTGGTGAGGAAGTGTAATGGGTAGCTACGTGCTAGGTGAGGTAAATTCGGTCACTGGCGACGAGTGCGTCAAGTTAAATTAGTGATTTCGGCGCTTTGCAGACGGCAATCATTTGAGTTAATCCGAGTCAATACGATATTAGTTCCGTGCAGGTACGGGAAATTAAGCATGGGTTTCAGCTGCCTCCTCTGCTACCGCTGTCGCTGGTAGCATAACCGTTTGCCGCGGCCGTTGCCGTTAGTGGAATTTGAGGCGTCGCCGCTGTTGCTTCATGCCAATAATCTGACTTACCAGTCGCGTTCAATTGCTTCCTCGATCTGTGGCCGTCGGTGAAGTCAGATGCGTCGCTGTTCCATTCCGTGCTAGTACTGATTTCACGTCAATTTCCTCCGCGGCTCGGCATGCACAACAGGCATTTAGTAGCAACCTTTTTTTTCCCGAAATCCGCTCAAAAGCTGATAAATGATCGTTTACTATCGGTCAACTCTCGGTAAATTATTTTTATACACATTGTTGCAAGGGTCGTTACCATTGTGCCTGCCTGGCAGCAGCCACGTGGGCGCTCTGCTGACTTTTGAGTCGACTCAAAAGTCGCTTTTTCTTGTTCTGTTCTGCCGCTGCTGCAGTTAACCGAGCCATTGCGCGGGGCAGCAGCCATGGGGGCGCTCTGCTGCTGCCCGCGGTTGGACGATTTCGACGACGCGGGGGGGTATGGCGCCGCTGCTAGAGCAGGCGGTAACGGTCGCATGGGAGGAGCAGGAGGAGGGGGAGGGGGAGGAGGAGGAGCAGCGGCGGCGGCGTCTCGGTGTCTGCTGCTACAGCAGTGCCTCTGCTTGCACTGCCTCGTTCGATGGCTGCTTCAGTCCGTACGTGTAACGTGCCTTTCTGTGTGACCCACCATAGTTCTGTTGGTTGGAGTCACTTTGAGAATGCTCAAAAGCAGTGCCTCTGCTTGCACTGCCTCGTTCGCTCGCTGCTGCAGTCTGTACATGCCTTTCTGCGACCCAACCCAAGGTTCTTCGTCTGGTTGGACTAAACCGTTCTAGGCTTGTTTATTCGTTGCACCCCTATCTCAAACGCCTCTTGCCTTGCTCAATCTCCCCGTCCATGTCCCTTTCTCCCTCGCTCCGTCCCTCCCTTCCTCGTTCCCTGACTTACTCCCTCCCTCCCTCTCTCCCTCCCTCCCTCCCTCCCTCCCTCTCTCCCTCCCTCCCTCCCTCCCTCCCTCCCTCCCTCCCTCCCTCCCTCCCTCCCTCTATCCCCCGGTACCTCCTCTCTCACAGTACGTCAGGGTTCGTTCTCAAATCGATGGTCGTCCCATTCCAGATCCATCCGATCCCTCCTCCTCCTCCACCCCCCTCCACGCCCCCGCTCCCTCCTCTGCTTCCTCCTCTTCTTCAGCCATCCTCTCCCCCTCCTCCTCCTCTTCCTCTCACCATCACCACCATCAACAACACCAGCACCACCAATACCACGGCAGTACCTTCTCCTCCTCCCCTTCCCCTCCCTCCTCGTCCTCCCGCTCCTTACCATCCGCATCTGAAATTTTCCCAGATACATTCCGTGCGCCTGCGCCCCCTCTTCCGTTCTCATATGACATGGGGGGTTCACACTCCCGTGATGCTGCATGGTCCAGGAGGGGTGGGAGAGGGGGGGTGGGAGAGCAGAGTGTAGCGGAGAGTAGATGGGGGAAACGAGACGGTGGAATTGCGTTTGCTGGTGCTGGTGCTGGCGCTGCTGCTGCTCCTGGAGTTTCCAGTGGTGGTGATGGCGCCAGTGCTGGTGCAGCTGCTGCTGGTGCCGATGGTGGTAGTGGTGATAGGATGTGGTTGACAGGTAAAGGCAGTGCTCGATCCAGGAACAGCAGCACCAGCAGCAGCAGCAGCAGCAGCAATAATGGCAATGGCAGTGGTGCTTGCAGCGAAACTCTGGATTCCCGTTCCCCTTCTGTTCCGTTTCTCCAGAGGCGCGTTGCGGCCGCAGCAGCTGCTGCTGCCGCTGCAGCGGCCGCTGCAGGCTCGGCCGCAGCCTCAGCGGCAGCAGCAGCCGCGGCTGCTGCAGCTTCGGCGGCAGGCGAGGAGAGAGGAGACAGGGACGGGTCGAGGGAACCACTGATAAAATCCAGGCTTGAGTCCAGCCGAACTGCTGGTGCTGCTTCTGACACTTCTGCTGCTGCTGGTAGTGGTGGTGGTGGTGGTGGAGGTAATACTGCTGCTGCTGCTGCTGGTTCTGGTGGTGGTGGTGGTGGTGGTGGTGGTGTGGGAGGGTCGGTTTCGCCCTCAACCATGGCTCCTTTTCATGTGGAAGGACCAGATGCATCTGGACTGATGCGCTTGCCCGGGACAGAAGGGTTTCCTGCTGCTGCTGGTGCTGGTGCGGCTGGCCGTGATAGTGCCAGTGGTGCTGATCGTAGCAGTGGGGGTAGTGGATGCAGGGGAGTTGGTGGTGCGGGTGGTGGTGGTGAAGAGGAAGAAGCAGCACCGTCGACAGCTCTGGCATGGTATCTTTCTCGGGTCGCATCGGCCACGTCTCTTGCTGATGAGGACTGCTGCCCCACCTGCCTTGAAGGTCAGTACTGCGGTGACACTTGAGTCAACTCAAAAGACATCTCTTGCTGATGAGGACTGCTGCCCCACCTGCCTTGAAGGTCAGTACTACGGTGACACTTGAGTCGACTCAAAAGACATCTCTTGCTGATGAGGACTGCTGCCCCACCTGCCTTGAAGGTCAGTGCTGTTCGTATCTGTAAGTTTTCTTGTTTGTGTGTGTTGATGTGTGTGGGTGTGTGGGGCGAGAGCGGGGAGGGGGGAAGGGTGCGCATGCGCATATGTGTGTGTGCGCGCGCGAGCGCGCCCGTGCTTGTGAGTGAGTTTAATTCCAAGGAATAACAAATTTTACAAGAAACAAAGAATCGGGAAAACTAGCCTACTTTTGATTCGGACTCGAAATGGCAAAGGAGTTCTCTCCCTCCCACCTTGCTACACCCGTCTGACCACACCCTTCTCTCGCTCTCCCTCCCTCCGTTCCTCCGCTCCTTTCAACCTACCAATTCCTGTGCAGACCACACAGTGGTCTTTTAGCTTAGGCACCTCAGAATTCCCTCAACCCCTCAACCCCGCAACCTCCCAACCAACCCGGCAACCAACCAACCCCCTGCGCAGGGTACACGGAGGAGAATCCGCGCATCACCACGGAGTGCGCCCACCACTTTCATCTGGGATGCATCTACGAGTGGATGGAACGCTCTAACCTCTGCCCTGTGTGCAGCAAGGTGGGTGTTGTTGCTGTTGCTGTTGCTGTTGCAATGGCTCACGTGAGCGCACGTTTCTAGGAGAGGCTCTTGTGAAGAGGTTCTGGTTTGGAAAAGGGGCAGAGGGGGAGCGTGCCCCACCACTTCCCGCCTGGGGAGTGCATCGACAAGTGGATGGAACGCTCTAGCCTCGCCCTGTGTGCCGCAAGGTGGGTGGCTCAGTGGCACGCTAGGAAGTGAAGAGGTGGTTATGGATGCTCAGTGGCGCATGCACGGGTCTATTGATGCAGTGCATGTGCATCTCCTCCTAGACTATGCTCAGTTTGGCAACAAGAGGATGCCGTGATCTGGCATCTGTGGCCTGCCCTCTCTGCCTGCCCTCTCTGCCTGCCCTCTCTGCCTGCCCTCTCTGCCTGCCCTCTCTGCCTGCCCTCTCTGCCTGCCCTCTCTGCCTGCCCTCTCTGCCTGCCCTCTCTGCCTGCCCTCTCTGCCTGCCCTCTCTGTTCTACGAGTCGAGGATTGCGAGAGTCCAATGTGGGCCTCAGTTACACCATCAGTTTGCATATCGAGATGATAATTTGAGTCAATCCAAAAAGTTACACCGGCAGTTTGCTTATCACGGTTGAGCTGACACATGGAGGTACACCTGCATCTGTGGCCTGCTCACCAGTTATCACGGTTGAGCTGACACATGAAGGTACAGCTGCATCTGTGGCCTGCTCACCAGTTATCACGGTTGAGCTGACACATGGAGGAGACCTGTTTTTGCTGTCTGTTACAGGAGATGAAGTTCAATGAGTTCATGACTTAGCAGGCTACAACCCCGCTCTCAACTGCTCCTTCAAGGTATCCCGGCTCTCTCTTTTTTCTACCTCTTCCCACCTTTCCCCACCTCACCTCCCCTCCCTCCCACTCCTTCTGGCAACCCCTCCCTTGTTTTCTTTTCCGCTTAGTTTCGCTTACGCTTTGTCCTGCGCAGTCCATGCTTCCTCTATCTCCCCCTCAGTGTCTCCCCTTTGCGGCCTCCCCTCCCCACCTCTTATCCCCCCTCGTATCCCCTACCCCCTCACACAAAATACCGCTTGTTCTGATTGTTGTCCTGCATTAGCACACATAATGCTTTATTGACCCACCAATTGCCTCCTTTTCCCTTTCACCCTCCCACTCCACCTTCCCGTCCCCTTCCCCTTCCCCCTCCACCTTCCCCACCCCCTCCCCCTACCCCTCTCCCTCTCCCACTCCCCCCCTCCCCCTCCCCCTCCCCCTCCCCCTCCCCCTCCCCCTCCCCCTCCCCCTCCCCCTCCCCCTCCTCGTCTCCCTCCCCCTCCCCGTCTCCCTCCCCCTCCCCCTCGCTCTCCCCCTCCCTCTCCCCCTCCGCCCCTCTCCGCTCCCCCTTCCCCTCGCCCTTCCACTTTCCCTCCCCTCTCCCTCTCGCTCCCCTTTCTCTCCCACCTCCTACTCAGAGTATGACCAGCCGTGTGTCAACAAACACATGACCTGCCCGTCTGCCACAGAGCACTGCCAGGCTCTCTGTGTGGCAGCTTCCGGGAGGGAAGGTAACAGGTCACAGCAGCATAATCTCTGTACATGGTCTCATCGCATCGCATCGCATTCACGAATCCTACCCTGGGTGCCAGTGCGGCTGGTACGGTACTCTGCACTGCCTGTCTGCCTCGGAATGAAAATGGACCGAAGACACCTCAACAGCCAGCCATGGCGCTAGTCTACGGAAGGCTGATATACTGTAGAGCCTGTGGATAGATGGCATGCAATATCATGAGAAGTGGCCTATAGATTTGATAAAACGGCACAGTACAGTACATGTGCGCAGACCGGTGCCTCAGTGCCTGATTGCATTGTATATAAGGACAAGGTACTGCTCAGTATACGTGATGCTTGGCATCTTACCGTAATGTGCCTTCCTACAGCATGCTGTGTCAATATGGTATCAGATTCTTACCTGTAACTGAGCCACTTCAAAAAATAAAAGAAAGTGTAGATGGTACTGCATATAGAGTAACAAGCCTGTTCACTGATCCATTATGGGCCACCTATTGAGAGGTGATACAGAGACTGTGAACCCTGAATAGTCTGAATGCTCCACACAAGTACCAGAAGTTCCACAAACTCAACACAAAAAGTAGAAATGTTTCATCAGAAGTAAAGGACTCATACTATCCTATAGCAGGACTGTTTTATTCACTGTAGTGACCAGTCAGTCACAGATCTAGAAGCAGGCATGGCACCACCTATCACATTGGAGCAGGTTCAATAAGATTCTCTATCTAGACTACCCATATGCATATCCCTCGCCAACACAACCACACACATACACACACACACACACACACACACACACACACACACACACACACACACACACACAAAACCATCAGCACCCACACTGGCAAATAACCACCCTTGATGCTCTAAACTTCCCCCAAGCCTATCCCCACATCCTGTGTCCCATCCCCGGTCCCATCAACCATCACCAATCCCACACCCCATCCCACATCCAACCCCCATTCATAACACCACTTTAAATCCCGAATCCCACACTGATTGCAACACCACGGCCCTTACGACTGAAACGGAACCCTAAAATCCCGATGCACTAGGTGACACATCCCTTCTTGACACTCCCTGAACGCCCGTACCTCGCATTCCCCTCGTGCTCCCCCCAAAAAGAGCCCATATATCCCCATTAATCAGCAGCTAGAGGTCCCCCAAACCGCGCTTCTATTGGGATGTACCTTGCTGCAGCCAGCACCATATTGTGGAGGGATTTTGGGGTGGAAGAATCAAGAATCAGACGCCCCCCATATCCCCATTCTTCTGAAAATCCCCCCCATATCCCCATTCTTCTGAAAATCCCCCCCATATCCCCATTCTTCTGAAAATCCCCCCCATATCCCCATTCTTCTGAAAATCCCCCCCATATCCCCATTCTTCTGAAAATCCCCCCCAAATCTCCGTTCTCAGAGCCACTAGACGGTGGTACCCGTATGCTTCACTCCACACTTCAGCCCTGTGATGTGATGTGCAGTCAGTACGTATGTCAGTCACCTTGGTGCACACGCAACACCACAGCCCCAATGGCCACACACCGTCCCCCCTCCTCCCCTCCCTTGCCCCACACGGTTGAGCAGCTAGTGCAGAGGACTGCATGTTTTCTGGGGCGCCTACACCGCAGAAGGGGTCGATCCTGGTCGAGCTGGGTTGAGCTGGGTTGAGTTGGGTTGGGCTGGGTTGCAGTGGTGTTGTCAGATGCAGGCGCTGCAGGACTGGGTGACAGTGGAATTGTCAGTGGCGACAACAGCAGACTTGGGAACGGCGCACAGCAGCACAGTGGACCCTGTCTGAGCCAACACATTGGGCGCCTGGGGAAGAGGGGAGAGCAAAGGGGGGGAGGAAGTGATAAAAGGGGAAAGGGGAAAGGGCGAGGAACAGAATAAGTGTTGTTAGGCAATTTGGTTTCCATGGTGTCATGGTGAAACAGAAGACTTGGGCACAGCGCACAGCAGCACAGTGGACCCTGTCCGAGCCAACCACATTGGGCGCCTGAGGGTGAGGTGAAGGGGGGGAGAGGGAAAAAGGGGAAGGGTAAGGTAAAGGAAGGGGAAGGGGAAGGGGAAGGTTGAAGGGAAGGGGAAGGTCGCGGGGAAGGGGAAGGTTGAGGGAAAGTGGAAGGTTGAGGCCAAGAATTAGCATCAGACAGTTGATTCGTTGGCAGCAATCAGAGCAGGCTTGCAGACAAGGATGTAGTTACAATCGGCGATGGAAGGAGACAAGGCAGGAGAAGGAGAGGCATGATGAACAAAACACGGGTAGCATCACCTTTACCAGAAGCGTCGACGACTTGTTTTCGACCCCATTTTTTTTTCCTTTGTTTTTTTTTTTTTTTTTTTTAAAGAAGCAGCCTGTCTTACCATGAGGGTGGCGTTGTTGTTCCAGTAGGTGGCATTGCAGAGAGTCATGTTGGACGCATCCAGGTGAATTATGGCTCCTTGCTGCACATTCCACAATCACATAAAAATACGAAGCAGAATAAGAAAAACAAATGCATGTCTGGTTGACAAGTACACTGCAGTGTTAGCTACACTTCGAGCAAGCACATTTCAAGCACATAGTACACCCTACCACGCGAAGCCCATACAGAATATGCAGCTACCCATTCGCCCGTTTCGACCCCTGCGTCACACTACATTAGTACTCGTCAGTCCAAAAAAGTTTTTCTTCCCAGCTTCACACTACGCTACTCTTGCTCATGCACCCTTGTTTCTCCTCTCGTCCCCTCTTCCTTTCAAGATTTTAACTCCTTTACTCAACCCCCAGAGCAAGCGCCCTTGGCACACAAGAAACTGCCGTTCCAACCCATGAAAGGTTCCCCACCCACTCACTCACTCACTCACTCAGTCACACGCTCACTCATTCACACACTCATACTCAGTCACTCACGCACACACGTGCGCGATCACGCGCTCACTCAATTAACGGTAAATGACGAGACCATACAAAAAGACCACTCACTCACTCCTTCACCGTCACCCGCCCACTCCCCACCTCCACATTCCTGCCCACTTCATGGAGAAAGTCACACTAACTCATTCACTCACCCCGGCTTCGTTCGCCGTGAACTGCGACTTGCGGATCGTCGCCTGCGTGCGCAGCAGCATCGAGATCGCGCCGCCCGCCGTCGACGCGAGGTTGCGGTGGAAGATGTTGCCGTACAGGCTCAGCGTGCTGCCGTCCGCCGCGCCGATCGCGCCGCCGAACCCGGCGATGTTGCGGATGAAGTGCGACGCGGTCGAGTAGAGCTTGCTGCCCTCATCCACCTCGATCGCGCCGCCGCCCGCCGTCTGGTCGGGAGGGGGGATGGGGGGAGGGGAAGGGGGAACGGGGGCGGTGGAGGCGGAAAACGAGGACGCGTGAGAGGGGGAGAGGACGGAGAGAGGGGAGGGGGGCGGTGCTTTGAGCCCAAGCGCAGGCGCGTATGAACGAGATTGCAGGGAGAGGAGAGCGGGAGAGCGGGAGAGCGGAAAAGTACCTACACGGTACACACACATACCGTGCCGAAGGCGGAGTTTCCGCGGAAGAACACGCGGTTGAGGATCGCGACGCCGCCGTTCACGAGCAGCGTGCTCCCGCCGCTGCCGTCGCGCGTGTACCCGCGGCTGAGCATCACGAGCGTCAGCTGCAACCGCCCGCCGCGAGTCACGGTGAAGTGCCGGTACTTGCTGCGCCCATCGATACGGCACAGCTTGAACTGCCATGGCGAAGTGGGAATATGAACACGTAAGGGGAGCGAGAGAGCGGGAGAGCGGGAAAGCGGGGGAGCCGGGGAGTGGGGGAGGCGCGAGGTGGGGAAGCGGGGGAGGGTGGAGTTGGGAGGTGGGGGAGGCGGGGGAGGCGGGGGACGGGGGGAGCGGGGGAGGCACAGCACACGGCAGTCATTGAGCATTCGAGTCGTCGTTGAAGCATTGAACATTGATCATTGAGCATTGAGCATTGAGACTTGGATCGTCATTTATGCTATCAATACTTGTCACCCTCCAAGTGTTACACCACTTGTAGTCGTTGGTCGCCACTTGGTCTAACCGTTACTTAGTCGTTAGTCGCCGCCTCATCTGCTTCTGCTGCGTGGTTTCCTTCTCCACAGCGTGCCATGGTTCTTTTCTCTCCCGCTAGAGCCGCACTTTTCATTGCTCACTCCCCTCGCCTCCTCTCACCTTAAGATCAGCGCAAGTCGTGGCATGGCCGCGAATCGTGACGGACGTCGTTATATTTGGCAGCGGTGACGTCAGAATCACCGTCGCGACCAGCAGGATCGGTTTCCCGGCTTTAATCACCGCTCGTAATTGCGCCTCGGTCCGAACCACCACTTCGTTCGCCGTCGCGCCGAGGTCTTGCGGAGTCGCGTCGGCCGGAGCTTGCGTCGTCATGGTACTCGCGAGAGAGATCTCGCTTCGAGAGTCCTCCACTGCTTTCGCCCGGCCGCTGCTGCTTCCGAAGCTGCTTCCGCCATCGGCGGCGGCGGCGGCGCTGCTGCTGCTGCTGCTGCTGCTGCTGCCGCTGCGGTGATGTTGATGGCCTTTCTTTTCATGCTTGTGCTTCCCGCCGTGTTTCCCGCCGCCGTCTCTGATTCCAATAGCGGGGGACGGACAGAGCGCGGCTGCTAACAACGCGGCTAGTAACGCGAGAACTAGCAGGTCGCGCCTCAACGCCCGAGTCGCCCTGCTCCTCGGACGCGAGTACGACGACGCCGCGGAACGCGGCAAGGAAGAGCACGAGGAGGAATTCGGAGGAGGGGCCGAGGAGGAAGACGCGAGATTTCGTGATTGTAAGCCGACGGGAGTGACTGAAGCGGGGGTGGGTGAAGATCGGAGAGAGGCGGGAGGAGAGGAGAAGCAAGTGGGGGACGAAGGGGGAGCTGGTCTCAAAGCGTCCTGCGGGTATAAGCAATGGCTGCTGCCGTTTTGCCGTCTGGTAGCTGCCATGGCGACAGTCCCTGCCTCGTCGCTTGTCCGCTCCCTTTCTATCTGCTCCTCGTATCGCCCTGATGCCTGTCCTTTGCTCCTTGCTCCGTCTGAAAACTTGTGTCTTCTGAAACCCCCTTTTTCTCCGTCCAGCGAACTCGAGCGGCCTAAGTCCGGATGTCTCGAGCTACCAAACCCGAACGGTCAGAAGTACAACAAACCGGATGGGACTGCGCACGATCTTTGAGACGTGTAAGAGACTCAAACAAGAAGAAGCGGCTGGGAGTGCAAACCCTCTAGCTTTGCGTAGCTGCCCGCGTTGATACTAGTAGCCACAACCTACAAGAGTGAACTGCGGCGCTACGAGTTACGAGAATAAAACGCCCATCTCCGCTGTGTGGCGGTCCGTCAGGTGCTTTGAGCTAAAAGTGGTCCCGGCGATTCAATCTTCAAATAGTGTCTAACGTGCCAGCTACCAGTGCAATCACTAGTTAGTCCCGTTGTAAGTGTCTTCAGATTCGGTCCACTCTTTACAAGACGGCCGTTCTGGCACCGAGCAGCCCGACGCTACTTAATCGACCTTCGGCTGACGATGGGAGAAGCCGCGCAGGCCTGAACCAGCGTTCCTTGTTTTTGTGAAGAGAGGAAAAGAAAAGAGTTGGTCATCTAAGGTGACGTAAGGACGCTAGTCGAAGGACAGTCCGATTCAACGACAACGGGGATATGTGGTACGGATGATATTAAAGTCTAGACAGAAGGTTCTGAAGTCTACAGAGACGATAGGATGTAGGAAAACGCTGTGACGGTCGGAGGGTTCGAGCAACGCGTCGCGAGCCGATCTGTCAACGCATCTTCAAAGACTCCGTATACGAAGGGCGACGAGTTTCGTTTCGCCATGTTGGGGGAAAAAAGCCTAGGAAAAAAACAAAACTACAAAGAAAATGGCGGGGGAGGAAGAATACTGAAGCCGCAGGCACTTGGTCAGGGCTGCTGGAAGTGCCATGTTGCGACGAACAAGCAAGTGCGGATGGGGGATTTGGAGGATGAAAGGAAAGTGGGTTGACCTGGAGTGGGTTTGACAGAAAAGCTGACTGCAATTTGGTGAGGACGTGCATGCAGGTGTGATTCATCGACTGATGGAGTCGGCGGGGGAGACGGATAGGAAGGCGCGGAAACAGTGCTCTCTGAACACCCGACTCGGATTCGGATTGAGTGAATTTTGTTGTTGAAACGGAGCGGGAGGGAGCGAAGAAATGTTTAGAGCGATGAAGCACGCTGCAGTTCGGTTACGTTTCCATGGATCCCCGTCAGTTTGAATAAGAGTGGATGTCTTTTCACGTACCCGATTCAAATTGCGCGTGAGAATGGTTGGCAGAGCGAGGTCAGTCAGCGGAGTTGGCGCGTAGAGGCGCAGAGTTTCTGCGGGTGGTGTTACCGACGGTCGCTGGAGGCCCTTGGCAAGGGCTGTAAGTGGAGAAGCGCGGCGCCACAGGCGGGGGAGCCTCGACAGTTGAGCGGGTGCTGCTGCTGGACGAAGTGTTGTTACCCGCTAAGAAAAGCAAAGTCATGGTCTTCAACTCGTATTTGGAATAAGGAGCACTAACACTTTGCTGTGACTGTAAGGTTCGCTGAGCACGATTGCTTACTTAACGTAACAATTTCCCAGCTAGAACGGGTGGTTTACTTCTCTTAAGCAGATACTTTCAAACCAGGTGCAGCTTAGAAAGCTAGATCCATTCTGCCACTGGGAAAGGGAAACCGATTCGGGTGTGAACTGTCAACAAACAGGAATCAGGTGGGCAGGGAAAAGAAGAAGTTGCCAGCGTTTGGCTGGGGTTGAAGCAGCGCAAACATCAGCGTGGCGCTGCGATAGTGAACGACGACGTGGCGAAGCGCGGACAATTCGGCCGGGTCGGGGAAAACTTTGACATGGTGCAGTACTTTCAGCTATTGTCGCCACCACCCGAGGTAACGAGCTGGGTCGGGCCGGGGCTTGTGCTGGGCTTCACGCAATTCTGGGAATCTCTCGCTACGGAACGTTGTCAAGAAACCCCCTTTGGCTCGTGGTCACTGACTGACAATCAGTGGCGCGAGTTGCGGAAGCCCCACGGTTGTGTGCAGAATGTCAGGGCTTCCACTATACGTCCTTGTTATGAATATTTTCCATAATCTGATGCAACAGATTCCGTTTTGCTATCGCTTTAGACGCTCACCTATGTGTCCCTTTGAAGTAGCACCTCAATCCCTCGTACGTTAATCTGCTCAAATGAATTTATAAACATAATATTCCATGGTAATTAATATTGCTACGCTTTGTAATGTTATTGTGTCATGCCTGTACTTTTTTTAAACATGGAGCCCAATGTTATTTAGTGTTTTAAAACAGAAATGTGCAAGTCAGCTTGTTCTTACGGTGAGTGAACTTTTGTTCGCGCAATAGGCCACAGGCAACTGGCTCCATATTTCTGGCTGCTCCACGTCATCCTCATCCTTCATGCCATCGTGGCGTTTCTCTCCCTACCATCACAGCCTTTCCCAACCCAGTGTCAGGCTTCCCCGTGCCACGCGTACACCAGTTTGCTTTTCGCCTCTCCCAAACTGACAAGGCTTTCGTCCTCCGCGCACCAATGAGCTGCCAGGGTTTATCTCGGGACTTGCGGCCACACATGCCCTCCCGCGCCATACCCAACCCTCGATGTCTGTCCCCCCAAGCCCCCACCTGCGGAAGGTCGGGACAAACCTTTTCCCCATTCCCCCACCGCCACCAGCTTCTTCCCCCTTTCTACATCATTTCCCCAACATTTTCCGCCATTCCCTGCAGTTTTTCCGCCATTCCCCCCCACATCAGACCTCTGCCCCGCCACAAGCAGCAGTCCTCTCCATCCCTTCCATTCTCTCCCCTAATTCGACCAGACGACTCCCAAGTTTTCACTGATCAACTCGCCGCGTTTGGCGCTTTAGACCTCCTCGCTGCAGCAGTCTCATCAGCTGAGGACCATGTCATTCGCACGGTGTTTATCGTCGTCTGCGACGGCAGCGGCGACGGCGTCGACCAGCATGCTGTCGCTCACCGCGTCGTTCCAGTCCATGTCCGTGCGCGCTTCGGCCAGCCGCGCCGCCCCTGCTCAGACCTCCCGCGTAGTTTCACGGTCCGCGTTTCTCGGCGCGAGACCCGCTGCGGCTCGGTTCTCTCCTGTCGCAGATCTGCTTCCTGTGGTGAATGCGCCGTCGCAACCGGCGTCGACGCAACTGAAAGTGGTGGCGAAGGAAGGCTACAAGCTCAAGACGCACAAGGTAGGGATAAAAAAGCATACCACGTGCCTCTTGAACGTGCTGAAAAATATTTACTTCGCTACTCCCGTCCCTTTCCCTCACCCCTACTCCCGTCCCCTTCCCTCACCCCTACTCCCGTCCCCTTCCCTCACCCCTACTCCCGTCCCCTTCTCTCACCCCTACTCCCGTCCCCTTCCCTCACCCCGTCCCTTCCCTCGCACTCATTTCACGAGCTGGATTCCTTTTTAAGCTCATCTCTTCGTACCTCTTTTCCTTCCGCCCTTCGTCTCTCTCCTCCTCGCTCGCCTCTTTTGGTTTCGTTCAACAATTGGAATATCCTTGTGCTCTCATCCCCTATTTGTATTGTATTTTTACTTTACCCGCTTATTTCTTAAATCAATTTTCCCATTGGGTTCCATTTGCTCACTTCTTTCCCACCTACACCGTTACGTCACCCTCCGAGACTGCTTTTTCCCCTTCGCTCCCGCCGCCCATCTCCTCTCCTTCTTTCCCCGCTCGCCCGCCCCCCCCCCCTCCTCGGCTAAGCTTCCGCCAAGCGCTTCCGAGTGACGGGGTCACGCAAGTGGGTGCGCCGACGATTTCTGAGACGCCTCAAATGTCCCCCTCACCATCCACCCGTCCCCTCCCCCCACCCTCCCCACCTCCTCTCCCTCCTCTCCCCTCCCTCCCCCCGTTCCCTACACCCTCTTCTCGGCCAGGCTTCCGCCAAGCGCTTCCGAGTGACGGGGTCAGGCAAGGTGGTGCGCCGACGGGCGTGGCGCGCGCATTTGCTGAGCAAGAAGAGCATGCGCCGGAAGAACCGCCTCGCGGGCACGGTAAGTCTCGTGCCGCGAATGGCGCTCGTGTCGGAGTTGCATAAAACCTAACCGGCAATTAGCGAGTCGGCTAAGAACGTTCTTTTATTAGCAGCTCGCGCTTTTGATGCGGCTTGTATCGGGGTTCTGTTGAGACCTTTCTTGGAGCCTCAGAAACGGTACGCAGGATTTTGAGGTGGCTGATCAGCGAAGCCTCGTGTTAACTGCTTGCGACGCGCCGGAGGAATGTGGAATGCGGGGTGTAGCGGCTTGAAAAGCGCCTGAGAGCACGACTGAGGGACTTTTGAGTCGACGTAAAAGGAATGTGGGGCGTAGCGGCTTGAAAAGCGCGTGGGATCATGACTGGGAGAATCGTGG